TTTATTCTAGTTGTCTTTGCTCCCTCTCTCTCTGAGTAAGGTCACTATAGTTTTTAGAGGCAGATATACATTTTCAAAATTTGCATGATTGTACTTTATAAGTAGTAAAAAGTAATGGCATAGTGAAAAGTTACTATAGATCATTTTTTAAAACTGTTTAAGTCATCCTCTCTATAACTTTTTTATATAAATTCAGAAATTCTGTCAATGCTAGTATGTATTAATTATATTATGCTTACATGTCTTCAGAATCAGAAGGTCCTTCTTTAATGTGTTCATCTTCAATTTCATCTATTTCAAGATTCTCTCGACGGACATCTCCTACCGTGGGAACATCCATCAGGGTTCTGAACAGCTTCGAGAGATCTGGAAGTGAACATGTCCTCAACATCTAATAAAAAGTCAACAGAGTTCTGATGAGGAGTAAGAAAATTAAAAATGAGAAAGAAAATTACAGCTAATAATAATTTTGTTATTTTATATATATATGTATTTAGAGCTACAGGATTCGAAGGTGACTTGCCCTAGGTTAGGATAATTCTTTTAAATTTCAGCTCAGTATTTTTTCACAGAGGAAATGAAACTTGGGAGTTATGCTTGGGTTTTAACACATAGGAATTTCCTTACATCGCCTGTAAAAGATGGGGAGAGGTATTTACTTAGGAATACATGTGGAGTGGAACTGGCAATCTGTCAGGAATCAGGCAGTGCTGGACATTGCCCACTCTCTCCTTCTCACTCACAGCCCACACTGGCCTTCTCTCGTGGTATTTCTGCTATGTGTTTCCCTCACCTTCCCGTGGTCAACTCTCCCCATACAGTCCTGCACAAACGCTGCAGTGAGTCAGTCTGGAGCTTGGATAAGCACCATCGCACATAACTGGTGGCCTTTTGTATTAATCGTAGAAGTTGCTGGTTAGCCAACACTGGTCTAATCACGGGTCTCAAATCAGTCCAAAAAGAAGCCTAAGATTGCTTCCCTGAGCTTGGGACTGTGAGTGGAGCCTCTCCCACTAGAAGGGAAGGCTGGAAGGAAAAGCACTTGATATCAATGCTGAGGATCATCTGTAACAGCAGTGAGAAGGAACTCAGCCAACGGCACTGAGAAAAAAGCCATGCACAGTTGAGGTGCTGAAAATTTGAATCTGTGCTGAGAAGACCGGAGATAATAGAAATAGCCTCTGACCATCAACCTTTCAACAATTAGAGTGTGACGGACAGACAGGGCTTTGAAACAAACAACTACATAGTCTCTGGCCTGGGTTAACCCTAAAGGAACCCAGAGATTTGAAACACGACCACTCAGGCACTAAGAACTCTTCACCAGATGGGAGACTGTGAGGAAAACACGATGTTTAGCATATTAATGAAAATTTATATACTTGGCCAATGTTATTGGTACAATCTGTTTTTGAGAATAAAAAAGAAAGATTTCCATTATTTGAACATAATTTATATATTCATAACACTCAAGGGAAAAAATCATTATGAACTACAAGTTGGTGAAGACGGTAAAAACGTACTGCTTGTTAAAGCGCTTCATAAAATCGTACTGAAAGTATTTCCTTTGCTGAATTTCCCACTTCACAGAATTTACACTTTACTTTCTTTTGTAGAATTTATGCTTTACTTGTTTATGATTTTAATGGTTTGAACCACGTATATTATAAACCAGCAGTAGGTAGCAGTAACAGTTTCCTCAGGTGCCTGCTAATCAACAAATGAACAG